TATTAATAATCATATTTCTGAAGAATTCTATATCTTGAAGGCTTGTATTTCTATGATGTATGTATCTTATTGCATTCTATTTATGATTTTGGTAACAAGGTTAGAAGACTATGTTGATCCTAAGCTTTCTATCAGGAACTTGTTGAGGTCTTAATATCAATGCCAAATATGATGATGTCAGAAGACAGGTAGAGTTTGTAAATAGAAAAAAATTGTGGTATTACTAGAAATAAATCAAAAATGGAAAAGACTAATAGCAACCACTTTAAAGAAAAAATTTTTACTCAAATCATAAGCTTTTACGACGAATAATTCTAAAATATATTAAGATACTATGATATGATATTACATGAATGAGGAATACTTGTTAGAGGCAAGGTTAGAAGAAGTTTTAAGTACAAATTTATGTTCATATATGTAAGTATTTGTAAGTACTTTGTATGTTGATCTCTAACTCACAACATGATGAGATCTTCGGTTCAATCCCCAAAACTGATGATGTCAGAGGTGGGGCAGAGTTGCCAAAATAAAGTAAATAATCGTAAATAAATGAAAACTTTAACAAAGGGAAGAACGAAATTTATTCGTGTCGCTGAAGCCAACAGCTATGCTAACAAACGGGTATTTTTAACAACTTCGGTTTCATTCGGTTCAGTCAAGTGTGTTGTCGTCGCTGGCTTATCTGTCCCCCCAACACCCCCCACACCCCCTTCACACGACACTCACCGCACTCGCACACACGAACACTGTCGCCACTGATAACGAAGCATGTAAGTGGACTGAGTGTAGAAAATACAGTGAAGCCCATGACCATAAAACAAGTTACTAAACAAATTTTAAATATATAAAAATTAGAGGTAAAGAACTCTTTTTCAAAGAAAATCAAGTATTTATCGTTTTTATATATTATAATTAGTTTGTTTTCAAAGAAATTCTTATCTATTGAGGCAAGACTGTGGCAAGAACTACCCTAGGGTGGCTCCCTTTGCTCATCGTTTATCTATTTGATTGCTGACTGTTGCTGCTGCTGCTGCTGCAGTATACAGGATAGATACATATATCATAGATACTGGGTCCGTTATGTGAAGCGTGTAACTGTATGGCATGTGAGTGTGTTTTATCATCGATCTTTTACCACTTATCGATTCGGTCCTGTTTTCCTTTCTTTTCGCAGAGCAAGATTGTGGACGAGTTCCGTCATTATTCAAATACAGATACGAGAAACAAAGTACGAAAATGCGATGGTTCCATAAGATAAGGGGATATCTTGCAGAACGCACTAGAGTATCTTAACAATTCATTTCTTTTGCGTGAAATAAAAGTGAAAATCTATTGAAAAATACACTGTGGCACGCAGGAACTAAGCCAGAGCCAGCGAAATGAAAGTGTGGGAGGTGTAAACTGGGGGTGTTGAGTGGGGCGGTATGGGTGGCGAGTCAAACAAATGCAATGACCTGAATTCGGAGCATTTTGTGCAGAGAAATGTGGAAAAGGACGATAAGTATATGATGAGGACTAAAAGCAAGATGTGAACCGGAAAACACAAGAATTTGGTTTTAGGAAAAAGGAAACAAAAACAACACTATAAGTAGTAGCTTTTAGTAATGGTTTTCAGTTACTCTAAGAAAGTTTCTACAATTTTTGTATGAATCTTTGAAATATATGTATGTATTTTAATTTCATTCATAAAAGCCTTTTAAACAGTACCTATATTATCAGTTATTTTCGTTTTAATCTCTTATTCACAACACGTCACCCACTCTCCCGAACGGGAGGCGCACCCCCTCGCTTATGGCTGTATTTAAGCCAGCTCTGCGAATGCTGAAAAGGTAAACATGTGTTGCCAAAACATAAAGCACAGGCCCGAACCCAAACGAACGACGAAAAAAAAAAATATTACAAGGCGCGGCACCTTTCGACGCAGGCGACAAGTGTTTACGAAAATCGCAGCCTGTGCAATTGTTGTTGGCGCTCCCCAGCTGCGTTGGGCTGAGAGGCTGTGTGTCCTTGTGCCTGGCACAACGGGTCTTTGAGGGCGTGGAGCGAATGGGGCGAGTGGGGGCGTTCGGGCCTGGCCAAGGGCCACCCGTTTTACTGTTGTCGAAGTCTACTTGCCTCACTCTCTGCACCGTTCTCCGTAGTGGCTCTGCTCTCGCAGCTCAGGCTGTGGTGGTGTGCGTGTGTGATGGAATTTACGTGCTTATTGAATTTTCAGCACAGCGAGTTGCGCAAAAACAAAAGCCAGTCCCGAGCTTGTAGCTTTGAACTATAATTAATTTCGATTTAATTAAAAGCGGGCCAGCAGCAGCCAGGAATTTCGCATCACTTCAGAGCGTTGTATCTCTCAAGCTGCGCCCTTCGCACACGGATACGGATACAGATACAGATACACACTCACACTCGCGTACGCTCAGAACGCCCAACTCCGGATCTGAGGTGCGAAAAAATTCACAACTGCCGATGTAATTGGCACAAAAGCACTTGTTACCCGATAATGGAGCGGTTTTCTGTTCTCAATCGGTTCTTGCGGACCTCTCGCACATGATTTCCACAGTTTTCCACGGAAAAACGCGCTGAGCCAAACGATTTCACTGCATTTTCCACTGCTCAAGTTTGTCCGCGTCCGCTCCGACAATCACGCACGTCCGCACAGTGGGGAGTTTTTTTTATTTTGAATTTTCTTTTGGGGTTCTGGGGCCACGGACTATCTGAATAGCGGTGAGATACTGTATCTGTATCGATAAGATATCGAAGATCTTCCCCATCTGGCCACACTGAAAATCAGCGAGGTGGCCACTCTCTCGCGAACCGGCCGGAAATGCACGAACCGGGTGGTAATTTTTATACTCTTGCAGAGGGTATTATAATTTTGTTCAACATTGTGCAACGCCGTTGCAGTTGCAACGCACACCTTCTAAGTTGATATAAGCATAATCTCACAGTTTCAAATTTATCTTTCATTACCAAAAATGGACAAAAAATCTAAAAAATATTTTGTCTCAGGATTTTGATGTAGAATGGTGGGCAATCGATCCAGAAATCGTTTAAGGTACTTCGCTTGGGAATCGGAGCAGAATTGGGGAAGATATAGCCATCACTGTGGACCCTATAGGGGAAAACCCCATTTTCAAGGGATCCCATCACCAAAAATGGACGAAAAATCTAAAAAATATTTTGTCTCAGGATTATGATGTAGAATGGTGGGCAATCGATCCAGAAATCGTTTAAGGTACTTCGCTTGGGAATCGGATGAGAATTGGGGAAGATATTGCCATCACTGTGGACCCTATAGGGGAAAACCCCATTTTCAAGGGATCCCATCACGAAAAATGGACAAAAAATCTAAAAAATATTTTGTCTCAGGATTTTGATGTAGAATGGTGGGCAATCGATCCAGAAATCGTTTAAGGTACTCCGCTTGAGAATCGGATGAGAATTGGGACAGATATAGCCATCACTGTGGACCCTATAGGGAAAAACCCCATTTTCAAGGGATCCCATCACGAAAAATGGACAAAAAATCTAAAAAATATTTTGTCTCACGATTTTGATGCAGAATGGTGGAGAATCGATCCAGAAATCGTTTAAGGTACTCCGCTTGAGAATCGGATGAGAATTGGGGAAGATATAGCCATCACTGTGGACCCTATAGGGGAAAACCCCATTTTCAAGGGATCCCATCACGAAAAATGGACATAAAATCTCAAAAATATTTTGTCTCGGGATTTTGATGAAGAACGGTGGAGAATCGATCCAGAAATCGTTTAAGGTACTCCGCTTGAGAATCGGATGAGAACTGGGGAAGATATAGCCATCACAGTGAACCATATAAGAGAAAACCCCATTTTCAAGAGATCCCATCAAGAAAAATGGACAAAAAATCTAAAAAATATTTTGTCTCAAGATTTTGATGCAGAAGGGTGGAGAATCGATCCAGAAATCGTTTAAGGTACTCCGCTTGAGAATCGGATGAGAATTGGGCAAGATATAGCCATCGCAGTGGGCCCTATAGGGGAAAACCCCATTTTCAAGGGATCCCATCATGAAAAATGGACAAAAAATCTAAAAAATATTTTGTCTCAGGATTTTGATGCAGAATGGTGGGAAATCGGTCCATAAATCGTTTAATCGGTCCCATCCACAGGCGAGCATGTTGGGCGAACATGTTGTGCTCGACGACATGTTTTTCCTGTGGATTGCTCGCCAACGGATGGCAATGTTGGCACCAACGTCAGTTGGAAAAACGTTTTGGTAGAGCAAAATGAATAAAAAGTTCCTGCTAGATTTTATTTATTGCCTAAAAAATGAGCCTGCGTTATGGCACGCCAAAAGCGATGCATACAAAAACAAGCATTTGCGTAATAATGCATGGAAAGTGCTACTCGAAAAATATAAAGAATTCGATGAGGACGCCACAGTAGACACCGTGAAGAAAAAGGTTAATTCGTTGCGTGCGTCATATAGACGAGAACTACAAAAGGTACATAGAAGTGAAAAACCAGGAGCTGGAGCGGACGATGTTTACCAGCCGAGCTTGTGGTACTTCAGTGACCTGTCTTTTCTGTATGAAACAGAATCCTCGGTTGATGGAATCAACAGTTTTGATGACGGCCCAGAAAATTACATAGTAAGTATTTTAATAAATACTTCGTTAATTAATTAATGAAATTCGTCATTTATTTTGTTTTTTAGCCGAAACGAAAATCGGATGAATCTCCTACAGAGTTCCTACAGAAAGCAGCACCGCACTTCGACAACATTAGCGCAAAGCAACAAAGGTGTGAAGCTGACATATATGCTGAAGGTTGGGCTGCCATGTTCAAGCACTTATCAAAGGAGCAGCAGCTTTTTGCGAAAAAAGGCATAGACGAGATCCTCATGCAAGGCCGCATGAATATGCTGACATATCAAGGGGTTTCAAGCATTGCAAATATTCCCAATAAGCTGAATAATACAAATTATAATGGATCTAGTTAGTGGGGAAAATGAAATTCAAGTAGTGGATGGACCTCTTAAACAATTTATTGGTATACAATAGAAAATTTAAACAATGAAGTAAACTAAATGGCAGAAACGGGCTTTAGGAATAATTCGCATTTCATTCTTGATTTCATGTGGGACATGCTATAAAAAAAATTGAAAAAAATCCATTTCTAAGATCTATTTTTTAGCTTTCGCTTTGGGCTTTGCTGCCGTAGAAGAAGAAGCTTTCTTTGAAGCCGCCTTGGATGTGCTGGCAGCTGGCTTCTTTTTGGCCTTAATCAAGCCATCTAGCTCCAGGTTGTCCTTGTCTTCGTCGTCCTCAGAGCCGGCTCCACCACCACCACCATCTTCCTCGCCCTCATCGAGACCTGGGTAATCCTCATCCCCGCCGGCCGCCTCCGCCTTTTTCTTCTTTATGCCGGCCTGGGCAGAGTAAGAATAGGCCATCACCTCCTTGTTGTACGAGCGGGTGAGAGCAGCCTTCACGCGTCCATCAACAGACTCAAACAGTGACTTCTTGCCAGGCCAGGAGGTAAGCTCGAGCAGCGAGTCCAGATCCTCGCGCAACAGATGGTAATCTTTCATAACATCGAGGGCAGAGGACACACCTTCTTGACCGTCCTTTGCAAGAGGCCGCACAATATTGTCCAGCAGGAAAGGGGCGTAGTCCAAGCGAACGGAGAGCCTAGAGCCAGAGGTGCAGGACCTGGTGTGGTCGTGCAACTCCTGTGCTAGTCTAGCGCGCTTTCCGGCCCTCGAGTTCTTGCCCAGCCAGCCGGGGAAGTTGATCTGTCCGGTGAAGTGGCCGCACATGTGCTCACCAGGCAGTATGGAGCTGAAGAAGGCCTGTGTAGGTAACAGACTCCAGGCGTTATTTGTGCGGATTTTCTTGTCAATCAGGTCGCCAAGACTGAGAGCATCTGCCGTGGCAGCCACTTTGGCGAGAACATCATTCCTTAAATAAAATAAATGGATAAATAATAAACATAATATCATTATATTGACCTTACTTGTTTCCTTGGGGAGTGACCTGGAGGTAATTCTGCTGAACAAATAGCGGAGCAAGACTGTAGTCGTGGAAGAAGAGATCAGACTTGTCGGCCAGGGACATGTTTTTGTGTTCTTCGGCCGTAAACACTTTGCGTACGACTTCCCAAGGTCCTAGTTTAAGATCCTTGGTGGCCACCTGTTGTCCTGCTTTACCCACGGAGTCCTCCTTGGCGCTGAGCAGGGCGATGTGATTGATGGATTGTCGGATGTCGTTGTTAGTGGCTGCAATGATTTCCTCCACCTTTGCGGGTGAAATCTTGACCTTCTCTTTGAAGCAAATGCTCATTATCTTGCCCTTGATCTGTTCGAGGCGAGGTCGCTGGAATCGCAAGTCGTAGCAGTAGTTGACCAGAGAACGTATCTTCGGGTGGTTACGATCGTTACACATACAGATGATGGGAATGGAGCTATCCTTGATCAGAGCGATCAGCTCTTGCATGCCGCCACGATCCTCATTTCCAGCCATTCCGTCCACCTCGTCCATTAGAAGCACGTGCTTCCGGGACACTGCCTGCCCCTGGCCATTGAAGTAGCCGGCCAGGGATTTGTTGCCCAGTAGAGTAGCCACTTCTTCCTTCAGTAAGCGCTTGCTTCGCGTGTCCGAGGCATTGAACTCCACAGCGTCAAAACCGAGCTCTTTAGCAACTAAAGTGGCAGTTGTGGTCTTTCCTATACCCGGAGGTCCAGACAGTAATGCTGCTTTGAAGAAGCTGCCATCGTCGTTTTTGGCCCAGGGGTTTGGTCGCTGAGGCTTCTTTTTTCCATCGTGGTTCACATACCATTTGGAAAGCCAGTTCATTAGTCTAGAAAAATATTTTATAAAATTAGAAATGGTACACCTCAGGACACGTCTACTTACTTAGTCACGTTGCTGGCGGCTCCTGCCTGTCCCACAATCTCCTTAATGTTCGAAGGCTTGTGTTTGTCCACCCAGGCCATGCCGAGCAGGTCCTGGGGTTTCGCCTCTGCGGCTCCATTTACAAACACTTTTTGCTCTTGGGAGCTGGGCTCCTCCTTCTTTACCTTCATGGTTACGGCCGGAACGTTGTCCTCAAGCTTAGCCTTCTTTGCCTTGGGAGAAACAGGCTCTTCTTTTACTTTATGCTTCGTGACCCCCTTTTCCTCTTTGACTTTGGATTTTGTAGATGTTTTCTCTTCCTTTGAGCCGGAGTGGCTATTTTCCTTCTTTACTTCCCGAGAGCTCTGCTCCTTTTTGGGACTCTTTTTCTCCTCTTTTACAAGCTTGGATAGTCCTGATTTCTCTCTTATTAGATCGAACAGCCCATCCTCACTAAGGATGGGGATGTTAAGCTCTTCTGCAACTGCCAGTTTTTTAGGACCCGCCTCTTCGCCCACCACCAAATACTGGAGCTTCTTGCCCACGACAGTCATCACTCGACCACCGAGCTCCTTGATCACCGACTCTGCTTCCTCGCGCTCCATGGATTCCAAAACTCCAGTGACTACAAACGTAAGTCCGCTGAGACAGTTGGGAGTTCCCTTGGGTATTTCCTTGCTGCCTGGATTTAGGCAACTACTGCGGTTCTTGTACTTCTGGTAAAGCACGGCGGACATGCGTTTCCGCTCGTGGCGCTCCTCATCTGTAAGCACGCTTGTTTCTAGATCTGCATGCGGTTTCTCCTTCTTTGCCCGTGGAGTGGAGGACTTGGATTTGGACTCCTTAACAAATGGAGCATCTGGGCTGGACTTCTTGGCTTTTTTGGGAGTGGGAGACTTTGGTGGTGGAACAGACTCCTTTTCAGCCGGATGGCGTTCCTCCTCCACTCGAAGGCTCTCCTCCATATCCACTTCCATGAGACTCTTGTCTATATCTTCGTTCTCGAATTCCAGAACCGCCTTCGTCTTCGGCTTGGGCACCACCACGCGCTTGGTTTCCCCACCGAAAAGCTCTGTGGGGTCCACAGGCTTCTTGAGCTTTGTGAGCGAAGGTTTCTTGCCATTTGTGTGGCTCGATTTTTTCTTTTTCGAATCCGGCTCGGGGGTGGCTTCAATCTTTTCATCTTCGCTGGACACAACCTTGGAGGTCTTTCGTCTCTTAGTGTCGTGCGGAGTGGGTGGAACCTCGTCCTCATCACTGGAGATTATCAAAGCCTTTCTGCGTTTTGGCGCCTTTGACGGCGTCTCTTCGTTCCCATTGTCATCCTTGACTTCTTTGGCTTTGCTTGGAATGCGTTTGAAGAAACTGTCGATGCCCTGGAATAGTGGTTAAGGTTAAATAGGGTTTCATCTTTATCCCTGACCAACTGTCATCAACATACCCGCTGCATTATTTATTAAATTTAAATGTTTTGATGGAGCTGAATGTCGCGACTGAGGTCGAACATGTATCAAAATATCGATATACCAATGTGCTCCCAAAAAATAACCGATATTATCCTATTTTTTGATTATCTGAACCTAAGATGCAGGTACTATAATAACCGTATTTTTTCAAGATCTTTAAGATAACTTTTATGTGTCAGTAGAAAAATAGAATATAAAATATAGAACCCCAAAAAGACCTCATTTATAATGAGAAGTATGGCAACTTTAGCTTAACAGAGCAGTGCGTTAACAGCACACTGTTAGAAAATGGACTGTTATGACAGATGTGCCATAGCAATCAGCAATTTAAAGCTAATAAATTTCGAATTCAAAATTCAAATATTGACGAAAATTAAAAGTTTAATGTCCAATATATATATAAAAGACGTTAATATTAAGATTATCTTTTTCTATTTTACCTATCACCCCTCTTTAACAGTTTTTTAGTTTAGTTTAGTGCCAAATGGCAATAGGATTGATTACTTACAAATTATTTCGTAACAAAGAAACCAAAAATGCTAAGCTTAATCGTTGCAACAAATTGTTAAATTTGCATTGAAAGGCGATACAAATCCGTGCCATTTGACGTATGCTCCATCAATCTTCCGCTAATGTAATGCAATCTAATCAAATCAAATCACAATCACATCATCAACGCCACTTTACACCGCCCTGAAGACGAATCCCCGCGGCATTCTCTAGCCCCAGAAGCGTTGCAAAAGCTGTTTAGTTGCATTACAGGGCATTAGGCGGTCTTTCCCCGAGTTTTCCCTTTGGCCCTGGTAGCTGTCAACCCTCTGGGCTAGCCGATTACACGCGCAATTAAGGGTTGCGGATACGGCGGCTGCCGAGCCACCCCCACCGCCACCCACAAGGTATGGCCTGCCACTTGGCAACGACCTTGCTTGCGGCCTGTTGCACGTGCTAAACGCCGTCAAATGTCACCCTTGGGGCCGATTTGAACGATCACCGCTTAACACCGATTTTGATTAAATTCAACATAAACAAACAGGCGCGAGGGAGCGCAGATTACAAGGTTCTTGGTGGTTGATGTTTTTCGGAATTAATTACAGTTTTGTTTTTCTAAAAAGTTACAAAAAACCTTATTCATTTATTGATTTAAATTTATTAAATTTTGTATTTAAACTAGTTTAAACTCGGTTTTCGAAAAGTACCATGTTTTGGATAAAATCTAAAACTGTCAGTCCTGATATTCTAGAAATAGTAATTTAGTTTATAGGATCTAATGTAAAAATATAACACGTTTTATAAAGATCAGGATTTGAAAAAGTTTCAAATACTTAAACCTCAAGAAAAGAACTCACTATTTTTGGAATATTAAAACTAAAAACTTTAATAAAATTCAAAAAAGAAAGTGGGAAATAAAATTAAAACCTTAAATTCAACAAGTGAAGTTTATTTACTGGAAAACCTCAAAAAGAATCAGGAAAAATTTCGACTCTGTTGGGGAGAAAAGTCAGTGTGTGAAATGTATTAAACATATAAAGGGTTGGAACGACTTTCCCTGGCCAAGTGACTAACTGACTGACTGGCTGGATGATGCTGGATGATGCTGGAGCAGCACATGCCAAGGTTCCCACCCAAAAGAAAACAGATGGCTTTGAATATAAATTGACCTCGGGTGGATTCCGTTTGGCAGGACGTTAAAATATGCGTCGAAAGTCGCCAGTCGCCAGTGGCAAGTAAATAAATACAAATCGGGGGGTGGCCAGGCCCGCCCCCTTTCACACGGATTTATTACATTTGCATTTGATTTTCCCGATTATGTGACATTTTCCTGCCAACTCATGATGGGGTGAAAATTACGAGGGTACAGAGAGGGGGAAACACTAATTCGAAAATGGCGTGTGATGGAAAACACTTGTTCTCCTTTTCGGGCGGCGGTCAGGCTGTCTCATTTATCGATCATTAGCGCCGGCTAATCCCCACACCCTCGCCCTCGCCGTCTCTGGCCCTGTTTAATCGTGATTAATTATTTTGACGCATTATTTTGATTCGATATTTATCAAAATGTCGCAAAATAGTGCTTAGCCTTTTATTATGTTTGCTCAACTGATTAATCTTTGGGCCGGGTTCATGTTAATGTAGTTGACTTTTTATGGCCACCTTTCACTCCCTTGTTTGGTGGGAGTATTAACTGTTTTTTGGTTTTTGGCTTATATGCTAATACAAGCCAACCTGACTTGGGCTTAACCAATGAAAAATTGGCATTTCCTTTGGGTTGTGAGTGTTGCAAAATACATTAACTAAATTAACTTAATTCCTTAGTTTGGTATTTTAATTTCTTATTCTTCCTCCCTGTTTATGGAAGCTTCAACTTGGCATCATCCAGCATTATTTTTTCAAGCCCAAGACAAGAGCCCTAAAAGGTTAATTACCAACATACCAGATGCTGGAAACTGTTCAACTCAACAGAACCGAATATAACCAAGCCCCGAACCCAAACGAAACCCCACACAGAGTCTGAAACAAGTTTCCCATGGGCAGAAATTAATAAAATTTGCAATTTACAATTTGGAAGCGACTTATATATCAGTGGGAAAACATGGCGCAATGTGTGCGGAGAAAACATGTTCAACAGTTAATAAAACAAATAATTGCATCGTGTGTGCAATAAAAAGAAGGTTAAACGCGGCCCAAGTCGCGGCCATAGAAGCCGCCTAGACGACGTTTATGGCAAGAGGCGGGGCCTCTGGGGGGACTCCGGGGCAGGGGCGTTACGGGACGGGACCTAGAGACAAGAACTAATCATCCGGGAGCGGGAGCAAGAGAAGACCTCGACGTAGACGTCGCGCCAATTGGAATTGCAAATCTTCAGGGAGTGGGAGTGAGAGCGATACACGTGTTCCAGCAAAAGAAGGAGCGGTACAGACAACGAGGAGCTTTAACAAGGATGTTGGAGCATCAGGAGCGGTTTTATTCAATTCTTTCCTATTTTATTAGAGAATCTTTTAGAAGCTTTAATAAAAAGAACATATGTACTTTCAAGTACTATACAGATTCATTGTAAAAATAATAAAATTTGTAGGTAATTATTAATTTAAATCACTTAAATCTGCCTAGGACGCTCCTGGTCCTGGTCCTGTATATACATACTTTTACTATATATGGTGGACATATATACATACATACCAACATATTGCCCACACATTGGTCTCCCGTCTAAGACAAAATGGTGGAGTCATGGCTGGAAATCGATGTGGAGGTGGGGACTGAGAATGGGAATGACGAGAGAAGCAGGACACACAGGTTCATTCTCCCATAAATACGCTCAGCGGGTGTTAAATATTTTGTACGGCTTCTGCAAGTCCTCGACATCGACTGCGACTTCGACTTCGAACTCAAACTGAAGACCCCGACCAGACTTGGCCAAAAGACAGTCCAGGGCCCAGACACTGCTTGGCTATCTCTTAAACAAACGCACAACTTTTGGCCCAAACGCCTTTGTTCATCAATTAAGCTGTCTGTCCGATGTCCTCTGGCCCCCGATCCTCCTGCATCGGTCCTCCCCATTGAGCCCCAAGTGCACATACATACGAAAGAGAAGGCGCTATGGCATGAGAAAGAGATGGGTGGTGGATGGAGGGCACGAGGAGTTGGAGACACATGCTATGGCTTGTAAATTGTGCGTCGGTCAGAAATTGAAATATGGCGTCGCAACGCAGGCAAATTGAAATCAATGAAAATGCTGTATTCCTTGAATCTGGGATACTGCATGGAAGACGAGTTGGGGAGGAGAAATTTAACAGAATTTAATGGTCTTAAAGGGTACAAAGTTGTAAAGATATCCTTAAGATTTGTGAATAACTAGGTTTGCTGAGAGAATGGATAATATCTTTAAAATATTTCAAACTACTATCTGTAATACTAATACTTACAATGATAATGGTAATAATAGTAACTGTACCATTCCTGGTTTTTTATCTCTTAATTAGCTTAAAGTTACATAAAAGTAATCTAAAATGTAATACTACTCTTTAAGCACATTTTTTTATTTTTAATAATTACAATCTCTTGCATTTTTATTGAATACTTTTATCTTGAAGACATTTACGATCAGAATATATCGGATTACCGCATTGAGACTTGCCACCGAACTGTTCTAAGCCGATTTTCCTCACGGCGCCTCAACTTGATGGAATCTCCTGGGATGTTGGCACCCTCCTCTCTAGCTCTCTCCCTGGGCCTACGAAATTGTTTATAGATATATTTTAAATGCCGATAAAAGCACATGTACGACAAGCAGCCAAACAAGAGACCGAACATGCCATCATTACCACCAACCGATCTGAACTAAACTGAACAGAACTGATCCGTCGAGCCGAGAACTGAGAACTGAGCTTAAGATCCGACACAGCGCCATGTTTGATGATTAAATCTCGAAAATGTTAATGATGCCGAAAGCGGAGGCAGCCGTAAAAGACCCTCCGATCGAGATGGAACCAAAACTCAGACATGGAAATTAGCTGACGATTGCCATGGCCAGGAGATGCGATCGTTAAACGAACGCCAAGGATCTCCATCTCCCTCGCCATCTGTATCGGGATCGGTTTTCATTTGACGCGCTCCGATCTGGCGGCATTTTGATATTGATTAACCAACTGAACCCTCGGTCCCTCGATTCCTCGCTCCGTCCGATCAAAATACCTATTAGCAATTAAAAGACGTCGACAGAAAAAAAAACGACCAACAAGAACTTATGACAAGTTAAGAAAGTCGAGTCTAGGTACCGTTGCTCCTTCCTTCGATCGCCTCCATATGAAGTTGAAAATTATGGGACATTAATTGACTCTAGGTTAACAACCAACAAAATCTGAAAGAGGGACTGGGAAAAAAATTATGAAAAATATTATTGCATTGTCTGGTCGAGAGGTGCAAAGGGGTTTTCTTTATGGGGTCCCCTTTTTGTATCTTCCCCGTTTTGGGTTCTTTTATGTAACTGGTTTTATGTAACTTGCCTTTAGCCCTTTGTGATAGCCGGAGATTCTTGGTTCGAATGGCATTGTCCAGGGTCTTTTG